AGAAGAAGCGTATAGTAGAGCTTTTATTTTGGAAAGAGACATTTCTCTGTAATAAACTCTCTTTTCCAAAGATGAGTGATTTCTCAATCAGATTAATTTTTTTTATTACTTTGTTGTTTCAGCAACATTAAATTTAAAAACTGTACGTTTGAGTTAAAATATATATTTATAATTTTAATAAATGACAAATTAAAAAGTCATGAACATTTTTTTGTATTGAAAAAATATCGAACCGTGACACCAAAGTACCGAACCGAACCGTGAATTCTGTGTATCGTTGCACCCCTAGTAAACACCTGTAACCACCGCTAACCTCTCACACATCATCAACATCACAAAAGATGACAAGTGTTGCTCGAGCTGACATTTAGATGTTTATCTAAATGCTAGAACAGCTTTGAAATTCACATGAGTTGTTCACACTAAAGTAAAAACCAGCATTTAATGCGGCTACCGCTTTTGCGACAGCTGTGGTCTCAAGGCTGGAGCTGAACAAAAACACCCTGATTACAGACTCGGCTTAGACTGTTTCCTCCTCCCCTACGCAAGGCCACCTGGGTCGGCTGGAAGACTGTTTACTTAGCCTGGCAGGGCGAAGGACACTGTCTCAGCTGAACTCTGGACACACACACACACACACTGATACACACTCGCACAGTCATGTGCTTTTTGTGGGGGTTTTTTTCTGTTATCAAACTGTTCCCCCATTAGGAGCTCACTCTGAGTGGAGTTTTTTTCTCTTCCTCTCACCTCATGTTATGTATTTTCGTTGTCTTTTCCCATCAGCCCACCTCTCTGACATGTCTCCCCAATGTGTTGTTTGTGTAAAGTTTGGTCAGAAGGTTACTTTGTAAGTGCGCATGCGCCGTTAGCGTGCTGCCTGCTGTAAGTATTCTGATTCTGATTAGATTCTGTTCATCCCGACATCCAGATTAACAGAATCTACTTTTTGGGAAAGAGGTTAGGTCATATGCAAATACTCCAAAAGTCCAAAACACTCAACTGTAGATGGTTATTCTACTCTTAGCTGTTAGCCACAGCTGTGGCTGTAAGCACAGAACACTCAGCTGCTTGCTGTTCTGACCTTCTGTTTGCAAGTACAAGCAAATCA